GCCCTCCCCGCGGCCTCGCGCGACCCTGCGGGGAGGGTCCGCGGCCAGCCCGGGCGGGGCGTCCGGTCGCTGCCACCGTGTCTTCCCTCTCCTCCCCGCGCCTGGAGCCGCGGCTTCCCAGAAGAGGAGCTGAGGGGCACTGGCCGGGGCTCCGGAGCTGGTGGCGGCGCCGGCTCCCGCCCCTCTTTTCTCCCTCCCTCCTCCCTCCCTCTCTCCTCCCTCCTCCCTCCCGCTCGCTTTCCGCCCGCGCGGAGGACCGGCTTCAGTAATCCCGGGGCGGGACGGGTGGCCCCGCCTGCTCGGCTTGCACCCATAGACAGGGGGGGCTTGGCAAGGGGCGAACCCTGTCCTCCTCCATCGCCTTTGGGCCACTTGGAGAACATTTAGTGAAAATGTCAACGTTCTTTCATACCTTGGGACACAAAACAAAACAAAATAACAACAACCACAACAACAACAACAAAAAAAAACCACCCCACCCCCCGAATATTGGGGGATGGCTTTGAAGTTCAAACGTGGTCCTCTAATTGTTTAAATGCATTTCTCTATGTGTGGCTCTCAGGGTCCCCTTCAGCCCCTCCCCTTCCTAAGGATGCAGAAGAGGCAGGAGGCAGGGATTTCGTAAAAGTTATATTGATAAACACACTTGCACAAGCATATGTTAGGCGCACACACAGACTATAAACATTAGCGAAAAACACAATATGGCGTACAGCTACGCTACCTAGCTGGGTAATCCGATGATCTCTTACTCCGAACCGGGTCAAATGAGGTCGGAGGAGGCATGACAGCTCTCTAGCAGAAATCTGAATGGGATAGGAAGAAATTTGGAAGCCTGTGGGTGTGTAGTACTGTCCTCAGAATCATTGGCCCCGACTTAAATTGAACATGCTACCTTTGTAGACAGTGAAAATTGCCTTTACTATTTTTTAACCACTAAAAAGACCAAAATTTGACTGAAGTGGAATGTTCTCACTCTGTGGCCACGTGGGAATTTCTGCTGATCAAAATTTCAGAGTATACAATATTTTCAAGTGAACAGTGTTCTGAGTTACTGCTGCAACTTGTTGCCTTTGAAAAACTTAAAATATGCAAGTATCATTTTATGGAAAATAGTGTGAGCTGTAATTTCAAGGAGTCAGTGACAACTTAAATTCACAGATAATTTACTTTTGTTCCTGCTTCAGTTCCTGTCTTCAAGGACCTTTCTCCACACTGTGGGAATAGGCACTCTCTGTGCTTATCCACAAATGAGTGTGACAAGTCAAGATTTGACTGTATTCTGTAGTTTTGCTTTACAGTTAGGTATGACCCTACTTGTAGGTAAAGGAGAAACAAACCAACAAACTGATTATCATATGCTTGCTCCATGGAATTCTTAATAACTCATCTGAGTTCATGCACAGGTGGTACATGGTGAATCCTCCCAAGAAAGGTTTAGAATTGCTGATGAGTCAGTGGTGGTTCTGGTTTGTGCCTTAGTGTAAAATCCCAAGAATGGAGTTGCACTCCATTTGCAGAGCTTTAAGTGTGAGAACAAATGGTGTTGAACAGGTGAAGAGTCGAAAATGGAGTTTTCTGGAAATGTCTGAGCCGCTCACTGAGTGAGGCAATGGGGCATTTTTGGCTTTGATTTCAGGTCTTAAGATGAGTGAAATACAATCCTTTGTATTTTCAGATGTGAAGATTAGGTGACAAGTATACTGCCTACCAGACTCCAAAACAATAATGCTCTTTCCTGATGAACTTCTAATATTGTTAGGCTAGAGAAAGAAGCTTAAAAATTATTAAATTTTGTCCATTTCCTGGAAGATGTCTTTCTGTTTATCTGTCTAGGTAGGCCAGCATTTTGAGACTATCATTATACCAAGAAAATATAGATGCAGATCTTGTGGTTTTTTTTTTTTTTTTTTTTTTTTTTTTTTTTTTTTTTTTTTTTTGGCTAGGTACTGCTAGACAGTATGAAATTAATCCAAGGATGGAGGAAAATAGACTTTTTTTTTTTTAAACTTGAGGGTTATATGGTGGAGTAGGTCTGTTAGATTTGATGCCTTTTTCCTATTTAGGTGGAGAAGCTTTGAGACACATAGCCTACTCCTGTTTGCCTATAAGAATTTGACTCCTTGATATAGGAAGAAAATATAAGAGAAAACCATTTTAAGGGAGTTATTTTTGTGTCATTTATGCAGATTTTTAGGAGACTTTCTAGACAAATTGGACTTCCTAAATAAGTCTTGACTGAATAACAAGGCCATTTTAGAAGAGCAATACAAGCTACAACAAAATTCTTGTAAATGATTTATAACATAAATGAATTTTAAATTATTTCAGATCTCTTCAGGGTAAGTGGTAAGGGGAAACTTCTTTAAAACATTTGGGATATGGAAGTGAAGTTTTATTTTCTGAAATAATCATGTTTTTCTTACATGGATGGTGAGGTCATCAGCATGTGGAAGAGAGTTCTGGATACTTGGGATGAAACAGTGAAGCAAAGGGCAATTTGGTCCCTGTGGAGCTTACTTACATTATTATGTTCATACAGTGTGTATACTCCACATTGCTAAGAGATTTTTTTAAAAAATATTAAACTTCAAAAATCTAGCTGCTTTTGTGTTTTACAAACTAGAGTTTGAAAAAGCTTAGCAAGTTTGAAGGTGTAGAATGTGTTTATAATTGCTAAATAATAGAGGAAGAACTCAGTTTCTTTAAATTATTTGTATTTGTCATTGTGAAATGTTTTCATAAAATGTCAGTAAATCTTTGACAAATAGGGGTTTTTTATTCTTCGTAATTTTGATCATGTCTTTGGAATAAATAAAATGTTGCTTTATAGTAAAATCTTGTGTCTTCACATTTACTGTAAAATTTCTATGTAGCATGGTCAAACTGTGATAAAACAAATCCTAAAATACATGCTAATTTTTTGCTTGGGATTTATTTTAGGAATGTACTTGAAAATCATGTATCTCAATCTTTTGCAGTTGTAGTTTTAGCAAGGGAAGAAAAAAGTTGTAACTGACTTATAGGTGATATGAAAGAGGTCATTCTTTTTGCAGAGAAGCCTGCAAAAAAACAGAATAAAACAAAACTATTTTTAACCCTTTCTTTCCAATCTCCAAAATCACTCGACTGATGCTTCTCTGATTTAATAAACCATTATAATGCAAGAACACTATAGAAAAATTTTAGCATTATTTTAGTCATTATGTCTGTAAGAAAAAATTCTAGGTTCTAACAAGTCAACTTGTTGCCTGGTTAAATGCACATGATTGAAATCTAAGTGTGTGGCTTTAAGTGGGGGAGAGTCTCACCTTTCTAGAACTTTCTTGGCAGGTCTCAAATAACAGGTTCCAATTTTCATTATTTGGCTCTTTTAGTTATGAGTCTGGCTTTGTTAGCGATATATAAGTTTACTCCTCATGGGACATAGCTTTTATTATACAGAGCCCACCTCACTCTCTCCTGTTGAGGGTTTGGATCTTCAGACCTACATTAGATCTCTAAGCTAATGTATGTAACAAGTAACCTTTTCCAAAAAGGGGACATACTGCATTTAGAGCCTCTTGAGATTGCTTCTGGCTGATATGTGTACAGACCCGTGTATATGCATGGCTTACAGAGGAGGACTGAGGGAAAAACAGATTTTTAAACTAATAGAATAGTTTCTGCTGATTTTTCTTGTAGAAGAATGGTTAAAAGGATGTTAAAAACTAAACCTTCCTGTTTCTAGTAATAATGGTTGATCAGTGTGTGTGTCTATGTGTATGTGTTTACAGATGAACGGTTTATGAATAAAGACGTACTTTAATGCTAGATAAACTCTGTCTTGCTCTGTGGTCCTTGACATGGAATGTTTTCAATGTTACCAAGTGATTTTGTTTGACACAGTTTGTTAGTTACCAGAACTTTCTTGTGAGCAACATAGAAACACAAGCTAATTAAATCTCTGTAAATTTTGTAGTACTTTGGGCTAAGATGTTATTTTGGAAGTTTTAAAAGCATGATTACCAAGCAGTGCATAAAATGAATGAAAACGAAAATGGGAAGCTCATGGAACTGGAGTCTGCATAAGATGATTGAGTTTCAAAGTGAGATGTCCTTAGTACAGAAGATAAAATCTTGACATGTATCAAGTTTTTATGATAATAAAATAAGCATGACTAATTGTATTAGAATTCGTACTTGTAAGGTAAGTCTAAGCGTGTGTACAGTGCATTTTAAGTCAAAATTTGGGGTGTTATTGGCTAGACGTAGTCATTTCTTTGCCAGAGATACTAGGCTGTGTGAGGGCTAACCATCTGTCAAGTGATAGAGACAAAGAAAGGTTTTAATATACTATTCTAAAATCTCTACAAACTTGTTTTGAATTGTATTGTCACTTTGTTTTGGCCTTCATACTCTGTGTTGAGTGTGTACTAGGTCAGTCACCCCACTTTGTTTTATGAACAAACCATTCAAGGCCAGATAAGGTTATTGTCACAGCTGATGAGATCTAGAGGCAAGATAAAATATGTTTTGATTTTGCTTTCATGTAATGATCAAAAACTCACAAGTGGGTTGGCCACCCTCTAGCAATTATACAAATGATTTCAAACATGTTATTTTCACCCACCCAGTCTTAATTTTGGGTGTCTTAATTTTTTCTTTTCTTTCTTTCTTTTTCTTTTCTTTCTCTCTTTCTTTTTCTGTTTTTCTTTCTTTCTTTCTTTTTTTTTCTTTTGCTTTATAGATTCAAGCTTTATATTTAAGCAAATTCCTGAGCTGTTTGGAAGAAAAAAAAAAGTAGCAATAGCAATCCA